TCATTAGCATGTAGCCTCACAGAGCAGCCAGTAAACATTTGTTTTCTCGCCTTAATTTATGAAAACACAGAAACAAACAAACAAAAACAAAAAAACCCGGCAGGACGCTATGACTGTATTTTAGCACATTTTATGTCCAGTTTGTTGTTCTTTTTGTAGCTCAGAATACAGCCAACACGCAGCGGTTACACATTTCAGGAAGGACTACAAACCTCTGGAGCTTTTCTACGATGAAGGAACTAAAGTGCAACGTTATTTTTTTCCTCCATTGTCTGAGTGTGTAGACAGCTGGATCGGCTCTCTTGTATGTTTCCTGAATGTTATTTTCAGAGCTGACTCAGAGGGGGTTTCACAGTCGTGTGGTAACAACACGTGTGTGTGTGTCTGTATGGTAGATGTATGCTTCTGTTATGTTTGCTTGTGTTTCTGTTTTCCTATTCCGAGATTAAAGATAAGTTTCCTCAGTCAGATTTGTTTATGCAGAGCGCCCAAAGTGCATCGCAAGCATAAAAATGTCATATTTTGGCCCGAGAGGAAGTGCCCCGTCTCACTCATTGGCTGCCTCGCACTAAATTTAGTCAAGCTCAGCACAGGCATGAAGTAATTTGAGCTAAATTGGTCCTAATGTGACTGAAAATGCTGTGAAATGGGAACGTGTGGTTGTGTTGGACTGGATATAAACTTTAGATTGCTAATGAGTAAAACAAATAAAAAACTTGTATTAACTTTATAAAGGGGCTCTTATAAGGAGATCCAAAATAGGTTTTTTCTAATGATGCATGATATTAAAATTTCTAGCCGATACCGATATTTCTGATATAACCGATATCACCGATGTCGATATTCAGTTTTTGTTCACACCGAAAAATGAGTGTGTGAACGTGAAAACTATTCAAAAGACGCCCAAATTAGGCCACGTAGTCTTCTTTATTATGTAACAAAAGTAAAACATATTTGAAATCGTTCAACTCCAGGACCATTTAAGTACAAACATTTGATAAAAAGCAGCAACATCAAACGTAGAGACGAAGGCGCTAATGTTAGACAATCATCGGCTAAATTTGTTCATCGGACCGATACCGACATATCGGAAAAAACACTAATATCGGCCAATACCGATGTGGTTGCCGATATATCGTGCATCCCTATTTTTATTTTTCCAAATAGAAATAATATCATGTCAGGGTCCTCACCAGGATTTTTTGACAGCATACCGGGAGGGCTAACTGTTAGCGGCGAATATGCTAGCGAATAGCACCGAAGACGACGGTAGAGAAAGTCCATCGGCGCTTGGTGATAAATATTTTCCCGCTACATACCCTCGAAAACAACGTAACAGCCCAATTTGGAGCGTAACGGGCCGGTATGCCGGCGTAACAGGTTGTTATGACAGCATAATGGGCCGTTATGATGGTGAGAACCCTGTATGTCTATAAAAAGGATGTACAATTGTAAACTCTGGTGTTTTGGTTTAAAGTTTCCACAATTTAGCACCAATATTGGTCTGAAACTCTCAAAGCAAAGAGAAACATCTGTACAAATAAAAGTTCACTGCGATATAGACAGAATCTAGAACAGGTGGGATTAACAAGGCTCACCGATAATCAGTGTAATCCATGTTTTGACTGACAGTAGCTGAAGTTTAGTTTGTTGTTTCCACATGTTAGGAGGATGTTGGAATTGTCAGTGTTTAGCAAATCAGAAATAAACAAGACTGTTAGTCAGTGGGACAGTTTGATATGTTGCTATTAGGCTTAGCATTTAGTTTATTAGTGCATATATACAGTCGTGACTCGATAATCCGACACTAAATGTAAAACCTGCTTTTATGTCGGATAGCAAGGCTGTCGGATTGTCAAGACGGAGGTCCAGATACAAGGAGGGCTTGATGCTAGAAGGCTCATTTGTTGTTAATATTATTGTTTATAGTTGTTATAATAACTAGTAGGGCTGGTCCCAATAGCACTTACTGGTCTCTGGATATTCAGGCCCAATTAATGATGAATATTTTAATATTTGGCGCGTTTGGGGGGGAACCTTCCACCGCGGGGCAGCGCTCTGACGGGGTGGAAGTGTTCAGAACACTCAGGCAGAACTTGGCTGCTGATGCTAGTTTAGTTAGCGCTCACTCTTCTGTTTCCACCATCCATGTTTACTTCCACTGAGCATGCTCGCTGCGTGTGACGTCGTCGTCGCATGCGGGACACTTTTGGGTCGCATGAAGTTCACACAGCAGATCACATACAAGTCGTGTTTAACTGGAAATGTGAACGAACTCACAGAAAAATCTGATTTCACAAAAAATCTGAATTAAGTCCTGCAGTCTGAACGTAGCCAATCTGTCAGAATCCAAGGCTGTCGGTATGTTACGGCTGTTTTTATGGGTTCGGTTTGTTTTTCCTAAAAACCTGTCGCAAGGTTTGGGATTGTTAAGGGTCGGATTATAGAGTCATGACTGTTGTTATATATCAGTTGGTGTGCTGCTCAGTCTTGTGTGTCTGCTGTGTGCTATCATTGTGGTGGGTTTGTCTGAATGAAGAGCGGTAGGACAACAAACTCCTGCCCAACCATAACATGACATGACTGTTCTATCTGCTGTTTTACTCCCCGCTGAGAGGAAACCTTTGATAAAAACTTCCTGCAGCTCGTCCACCAAGATAAAAACTCTCATGTTTCAGGCTCATCTGACGACGACGACGACGATGATGATGATGATGATGATGATGATGATGATGATGATGATGCGTGTTTGTGTTTTAACATTTTCAAACCAGTTCTTCTTCAGAAACACGCACACAAGGAGAATAAAGCGTGTTTTATTTCTTCTCGCGGGACTTCTCGGCACCAAACTAAACACTCGAGTGAGAATGAAGTCGCTTCGTGCGTTCGCCGCTCACCTCTTCACATTTAATTTTAATGGTGCTTTGGAAGATTGTGTGCTGAAATATTCATATGTGCTTGAGATGGGCTTTTTCTGTCCTCGTTTATTCAGGTCGTCTGATTAAAAGCTTCATTGTCTGATTATTGAGAAGTGGCAGAAGTGTTGTTGTTTTTGATTGTGTTAGCATGACGGCTAATTTAGCACCTGTTATCCAACATGAAGAGCTTTTATCTTGTTTTCAGTGGTTTTATTTGAATGTAAAGCACTTTAAATATGATTTTGAACACAAATATGGCATTATTGTAGCAGCAAACAAATATCTATGGAAAGATATGGTAGATTAAGGACATCTAATGGTGCATGTTGGTGTACTTAAATGCATCTAAGTGCATATGTGTCCCTCCTATTGAAACTGATCTCCCTTCCTACACTCTTAAACAGACAGATCGACCTCTGACACCACACTGGAAAAGCAAAAGTGCAGTCCAGTGTTTAGCCAGTGCTCTAAAAATCCAAAGAATTTAAAAACTGTCTTTTCTTTATGTTACTTCCTCAAATGTATTCAAACCGTTCCATTAAAGAAAATGTAAAATCCACAACAGTCACTCAAATAACTAGAAACTGAAAAAAGTAATAGTAAATAAAAATTTGCTAAATTATAATTTAGTGAAATGAGACATTGCTTTTGAATTGTGGTTGAAAAGAAAGGAAAAAAAAACTGTTCTGAACAAATGAGAGCACTTTGCTGATGAGCAGTGAAATCCAAACACCTGTCAACAGGTGCACAAGTCTGATTGAGAGTTACAAAAAACACCTGATAGCAGTAATTGGCTCAAAGGGTTGTTCAACTAAATAGTAGTTTATGGGTCCCATCATGCTTGTTTTTGTTTTTTTTTTGTTTGTGTGTTTGTTTTTAAATATTTCCGTTGAACCACAACTTAAAAGCAATGTCATGATGTTCATAAAATTTTTATTTATTATTACTTTTGTCAATGTCAACTTATATCTTATTGGATTTCCCTTCTGGGATAAATAAAGTATTTTTCATTTCATTTCATATCAGTGACAGCTGTTGTTTTTCCTTCTTTAATGGGAGGTTATGAATACATCTGAGGACGACTGAACCTTGTTTCATTTCTCATGTTATGTTCTGAGCAATATATGAAACATAACATTGCTTTGGGATTAATAAAGTTCTGTCCTAACACAACATAACTTAACATAACTTAACATAACTTAACATAACTTAACTTAACTTAACTTAACTTAACTTAACTTAACTTAAAACTTAACGTAACTTAACTTAACTTAAAACTTGACTTGACTTGACTCAGTGTGGGAGTTTCTGCGACTGGTTTGCACTCCGGTCTTTGTGTGTCTGTTTCCAAGCATGATTCAGTCCTATGCACCGGACCATGGAAACAGATGCAAGCATACATTAACAAACACAACATTCAGAGATATTTTAAGATAACGTGACCCCAGCTGCTGCCATTCGATGTATTCTAGAAGGCTAGCGTGGGCTAACGGGTGCGGCTCGCTTCCTTTTTTTTGTTGACACAGTATTTCTGCTTGTAAATTGAAGATAATGGCTCGTTTGTTCTAGTGTGAGATAAGGATGTCCTGAACGAGGCCTGCACACATCTTAGCCTGGTTCTTCTTCTATGACCAGCTATCAGTGGATCCAGAAATGTGATTCGTTCTCTTACAAAAGTAGCTCAATCAATCAATTACCTCATCACTTAATTAATTTATAATACAAGTCGAGCACGTTGGACTGTTGCTGATGTTGCTGACCTAGCTGATCCCTTTAATTAGCTCATGTTCGCCGGTTGGAGGTCATTAAGAAAGACGTTGTCATGGCGCCCACTATGCTAGGAACTGCCGTCCTTTGGTTTGCTCGTTACCAAACACTAAGAAGCTCCACCTGGTGGTGCAAAAACCAGGTGTATTATTTAGAAAAATGGTGATTAAATGATAGAAAACTTGATCTGATCATCCTCAGTCTGGGGCTCTGGAAACATCCAGAGGTTCTGGAAAAAAAAACCTTCCAGACTTCCTGTATGAAGAGTGATGTAAAGAAAGAAAAACTGAAACGATGTGTGTGTTTGTGTTTCAGCCGTAACCAGCTGGGCTCCCTGCCGGCCTGTTTGTGCGGTTTACCTCTGAGAGTCCTCAACGCCAGCAACAACAAGCTGGTCAGCCTGCCGGAGACCATCGGACAGCTGCACAGCCTCATGGAGCTGGTAAGAGTGTTTACGCCGCCGTGGTGTGTCACCGGACGTCACTCTCAGGAGTCACTCATAGCATTTTTTTGTTTGTTTTTGTGTCGTGAAGCCTAATTGCGCCTCTTGCTGAAGTAATGCAATTCTACCAGCTGTTTTTCTGCACCATGAGCTCATTTTCTTCCCACTTTTTGCTTGTTTTCAATCAACTGAGTGTAAAAATATCATCAGTTATGCCAAACCAGCGTAGAATCATATCGATTAGATTAGTTCTTCGTTGTTGTATCTGTGCCAATGTGTGTGACGTGCATAGTCGACTGTCTTGGCTGACGGTGGAGGCTAAACTACGATCTAGTCTTTTGTTATTCGTGCATACCGTCATCCTGAGAAGTACACCTTTACCCCTAGATTATATAAGGGCTTTGCCATGGGTACACCGAGTCAGCTCTGGTCTTCTGGTGGCACCGAGTCCACGAACAGACTTTATGATGAGGACTGTTCTTGTTAGAGGGTCTCAGTTTGCTCCCTACCAGCATTAGACAGATCAAACATCCCCTTAAGAAGTCACTAAAAGTCAAAGTGATGAATCACATGTTGCAGTTCTGGAGTCTTCTTAATCTGGGGTTGATATTGAATTATGTTGCCTCACTGATATTCTGTGAATTTGAGTTGATGTATTTTTAATGTTGTTTTGTGAATGGAGCCCCAGGAAGACCAGCAACCAGCTTATGGAAGCTGATGGGGATCCACGTAAAGCAGGGGTGTCGAACTCTGGTCCTCGAGGGCCGCAATCCTACATGTTTTAGATGTTTCCCTCTTCCTGATTCAATCGATCAGCTCATCATCAAGCTCTGCAGAAGCCTGATAATGATCCTGATCATTTGAATCAGGTGTGTTGGAAGTGGGGAAACATCTAAAACTTGCAGGATTGCGGCCCTCGAGGACCGGAGTTCGACACCCCTGAGCCATAAAGAATAACTTAACGGTTGCGTCGCTGTGCTCTGCAGGACATCAGCTGCAACGAGATCACGGCTCTTCCTCGTCACATCGGCAGACTCAAAGCTCTACGGGAACTGAACGTACGCCGGAACCTTCTCTGCGTCCTGCCGGAAGGTGAGTTTATGGAAATAAGTCTGTTTTCAGGCGTTAAATATCCATCCAATGTCACACACCGCTTCATCCTCACTAGAGACAGACAACCAAGCACACTCACATTCACACCTACGGACAATTTAGAATCACCAATTAACCTCAGCATGTTTCTGGACTGTGGGAGGAAGCTGGAGAACCCGGAGAGAAGCCACGCTGCACGAGGAGAACATGCAAACTCCACGCAGAAAGATCCCGGGTGTCCTCACTGGGACATGAACCAGCGACCCTCTGGCTGCTAACCACTGAGCCACCTTGCAGCCCAGCGTTAAATATAACCCAGATTTATATTTTTGTCCTTTTTGTGTCTGAAACAGCTTCTCCTGTCTTGTCTTCTTTCACCTTGCTGTGATTTGGTTGGAAGTGTTTTGCTTGAAGTGTGTAATTTAGACCAAATCACTATTTTTATCCGCGTGGGCAGACTTCAGCCCGTATAATTTCTATTTTCTGTTGACCCCACTTCACTTCTGTGTACAAAAGCACGATGCGCAAGACGCTGCTAGTCGAGCAGGATTTGCAGTTAAACACAGAAATAGAACAATCCCTTCTATATCGAAGCTGGGGAGGCACACGGGGCGACCGCAGAGCCCTCTGAATGCGCCGCCACGCCCGTCCCAGTCCCCGAAAATACACTTAACGCTCGGCGTGACCGAGTGGCGACCTCCAGTCCCCAAAGGGCTGAAATGAGTCGGTGACACGGGGATGAGTGACAACCGCAGGCCTCTGGAGCTCATCTGGAGAGACACCACCCAGACTGTCTGCTGATAGGCCCAGGGTGGAGGGACTGGAGGGCTGCCAGTTAAAATCAGCAGACCGACTGGAAAAAAACAAAACAAAACGGGGTTTTAATAAGAACGACTCTCTCTGGAGTCAGTACGTGACTCTAAAGTCTGCTGAGGATCTGATATAATGAGAGTTTTTGTCTTAGAGCTGCAGTCTAGACCAAAAAAGGCAAAAATTGATGAGTTTAGTCCATTGGAGAAGTGAGTTAGTCGATGTTTATACTGCTGAAGGTAGAAAATAAGAGTTTTTGCTCGATTAATTCATGATTGAAATCGCTGTTGATTCATTTTCTGTTCAGTTGTTGCAGCTCTACAATTACATCCAAAAATTCTTACTGGTTTTTGTATTAAACACTCAAATATGATGCATTGTTAGTGTGTGGCAGTAAAGTTCTAAACAAAACAAAAAACAATGACATTTCATTTCTTGTGTCGTATCTGCTCTCAGATGTGCGTCGCTTTGGATAAAAGCAAAATAAAGTTGCGGTAATCTTTTATGTTTTCTGCACGTTCCAGCTCCGTCTGCTTCATTTTAACGGACATTTGAGTTTGCAATAGATGTGACAGTGTAAGTTTTGTAGTTTTGGCAGCAGACCG